GAGTTGACCCCCAATGGTCCCACCTCTTGGCGATCATGGCCTCATGTTATCTTCTTCCTGGGAATAACTTGTTTCCAACCAATAGTTACCAACCAATAGAATATGCATATTGTTGAGGGGATGTCATTTCTGTGATAAAGTTACATAAGATAATGACTTCCATCTTGCTAGTGGGCGCTCTCTCAAATCTCTCTCTTGTGGACTTAGATGAGGCAAGGTGTCATACTGAGGAAGATCGTATGACAGGAACTGAGGGTGACCACCACATAGCCACCACCAAGGAGTTGAGGCCTCCAGTGTAACAGCCCTTACATACTGTTATAACAGTGTAACGGAATCCTGCCAACCATGAAAATGGCTTGGGAGAAGATCCTTCCTCAGCTAATCCTTAAGATGAGATCCCTGGTTGCAAACTTGAATCAAGCCTTGTGACAGATCCAGAATCAGAGGAGCCAATTAAGCTGTGTCGGGAATTCTGACCCACAAAAACTGTGAGATGGTAAATGTGTTAAGTTGCTAATCTATTACTTAGCAATAAATATTATAACAACTGATGTACAATGGCAGAACATGGTGACTACAATAAAAACTCTAATTTGACAATGTGAACAATAGAGGATGCATAGCAACCACTGGACCACAACAGCTCTGAAATCCCTTAGGTTGGTGGGAATCTTACTAACTGGCCAGTTCGCTCTACCTTAAAGCAGGGCTGTTCCTTGATTAGACCCCTAATCTACTTCACAGGGGCACCTCTTGAATCCATTTTTCTCCATTGTTCTCAGTTCTGTCTTCTCAGAGGTTCTTCCTGAGCCAGCATACTCCTTGCCAGCTTGTGAAGGGAACACTTGGAGAATTGGGCCCTCTTATCAGCGGAGCTATTTTTTTCAGATACCTTCCTGCCTGTAGAAGCTTGGGGTCCATGAGGTCTTTTTACATCTTAAACATTTTTACTCTCTCTTTAGACTGGAAGCACTTTTGTGAATTTCTTTCTCAACAACTTTGTGGGCTGTTTGATTCCAATCAACTTCATATGCCAAAAGGCACATCTACATTTTTTTTTTGAGATAAGCCTGTCTCTCAACTTATTTGTGTCTACTCCAGGCACACCCAGCCGTCTGTAGCACTTTGCCCTTAAGATGTCTGGTGAGTTCTGCCCACCAGAGAGGCTGTGTGTCTTAGTCCTTTCAAAATGTTACAGCTTCACAGTGGCTCTGGTCTTCCCCCTGAGGTCCTGTCTTTCTGTCAACACCATGGGTTTCACTTTTGCTTGAGCTGTTTAAATGGGCTACTTTTGGTTTGATAAAATCATTCTTAAATTCATCTATTTCTTATAGTATCTTATTAAATACAGCTTATGCTTTCAACATTCTGCCCCATTTTCCCCCAAAAGTTTCTATTAGGTACCTTTCTATCTTCCAAGTTAGCTCTGATGACAGTTTACCAAATGCTCTGCTACTGCACAACACAGACTACTATTTTTCTAGTGTCCTGCAACAACTTCTTTGCTACCCACTACCAATCCCAGAAACAATGTCACTACCAGGTACTAATTTCTCTATCAGTTAGTTATTACTGTGTAACAAATAACCACAAAAATGCAAGTGGTTTATGACAACAAGCATTTATTTCACTCTCTGGTCTACACGTCTGGGATGGCTCTGCTTCAGGCTGTGGGTGCCCGGAGCTTGTCTAGTCTGAGGGTCTGTGTCAAAGGCTAGACTCAAATGTATGTTTCAGCTTTTGCTCTTATCACAGTCATTAAAATCCTATTGCTCAAAGCAAGTCATATGGTCAAGTCCAAAGTCAGGGGAAAGTACACTTCATCATGAGACCAGATTGAGTATGTATACACAATGTTACTACATTAGAGGAAATAATTGAGGTCAATAATTCAGTCTTTTACACTAAGTAAAATCTCATTTGAATAAAAGTTTCTATCCCTAAAGTTTCTTAAATTCCTGGCCTAGATAATATCTAAAGTCTTTTCTAGTGCTTTGAAACACTATTGAAATAGAATATTTGCATAGGTAAAGGTAAATCAACAAGTACAGAAAAAGGCTGGGTCTGTTTGGGTGTTTGGGGTGGTTATATATTTCACCCAGCATCTAGGAGTGCAGGAAAGTCAGCATGAAGATGCTCCACAATCAGCCAGCTCATTAGCCATTATTAATTATGGGATTTCAGATTTGTCATGCCCTAAATTGTACAGTCAGACTTGTTTAAGTTCAAAAATATATTCTAGCACAATGTTCACAGCAGCATTACTTTCAGCAGCCAAAAGATGGAAATGACCCAATGTCCATTGACAGATGAATGGATAAACAAATGTGGTATATACACACAGTGAACACTATTCAGCCTTAAAAATGAAATTCTGACACATGCTATAGCATGGATGAACCTCAAAAGCATTTATGCTAGATGGAGTAAACCAGACACAAAAGGATAAGTATTGTATGATTCCACTTATATCAGGTAACTACAGTATTTAAATTCATAGAAAGTAGAGTGGTAGTCATCAGTAGTTAGGGGCAGAGAGAAACAGGAGTTACTGTTTCATGGATATGATTTTCAGTTTTGAGACGATTTAAAGGTGATGGACAGTGGTGACAGTTACACGGCATGTACTTAAAGCCATTGAACGGTATACTTAAAATATGGTTAAAATGATAAATTTTGTTATGTATATTTATAATTTAAACAAGTTATTTGCCTCATAGACAAAAAAATCTAAATCTAAATACAGTTAGGATAATCCACACCACAGTATCTCTCTACATAATAGGTAACTGAAGAGTTGACCATATTTAGCAATTAAATTTAGGTGAAATAAAAATGAAATTGGGAAAGGCTGAAAAACTCTTTTAACAACTCATTTATATTTCAAATAAAATTGGACTCCTCCAAAGACATGATGGACCTGCTGTGACTGAAAATTCACCTATTTCAAGTTCATATTCTTGATCAGAAAACTGGGAGACAAATAAGAATTGTAGCTTTTGTATGTCAGTACTTGTATGTTTGGAAGTTGTTGCTGTTATACAAATACACTGTTCAGATCACCCTTAAAATTAATGAAGGAAGTGGGAGGAAACCTTGGGAAGTGATGGGTATGTTTATGGACTCTAGGGTGGGGACAGTTTCTTGGCTGAATACTTATTCTGAAATTCCTTGAGTTGTATACATTAAATGTACACAGCTTTTTAAATGTCAGTCATACTTCAATAAAGTGGCCTAAAAAAAGGGAGTCTGATTCTTGGAGTGCAGCTCATCGACAGCCTCAAGCTGCTACACCTTTGGAATCCATGGGCGTTCATGCAAGGCCACATTCCTTGAGCATCTCTGATGACTGAGCTTGGTGGAGCACAAGAGTTGTGCCATTCCTGCCTAATGGGACTCTTCTAATGGGTAATCCTTGCTCTGGCGCTCCCCAGAAGCCTGGCAGGAATTTCACAGAGCTGCACCACAGTCTGGACTCCTTCCCTCTTTCCCTTCACAGGTGCAGATCACATCACAATTTGAATAGTTTTTTCTAAATAATTATTATAGCAATGAAAATGAAATAAAATTATACATAAAAGTGAACTGTTTTGTGAGGCCCTGCATTGATATCACACCTCAATTTCAATCTGTCACTGTTAACACCTCATAACCTCAATCCTTGCTCTAATTATTTTTTTAGTGATATAATTGTCATAGAACATTATATTAGCTTCAGGTGTACATGATTCAGTGATTCAGTATTTATTGCAAAATGATCACCATAATAAATCTAGTTAACACTTGTCACCATAGTTACTCATTTCTTTGTAATGAAAACTTAGGAGATCTATTCTCTTAGCAACTTTCAAATATACAAAATGGTATTATTTATAATGATAGTCACCATACTGTATATTACATCACCGTGACTTATATTTTAGAGCTGAAAGTTTGAACTTTTTAACTCCCTTCACATTTTTTGCAGCTCCTCCAGCCCCCCACCTCTGGCAACCACAATCTATTTTCTGTATACATGAGCTCATTTTTCTTTTCTTTTTTGCCAGATTCCACTAGTATTAAGTGCGACTTATTTCACTTAGCATAATATCATCTACATCCATCCATCCATGTTGTCACAAACGGCAAGATTTCCTTCTTTTTATGGCTGAATAATACTCCAGTGTGTGTGGGTATGTTTGTATACACACACACACACACACACACACCCCACAGTGGGTATGTTTGTATACACACACACACACACACACACACACACACAGTGTTTTTATCCATCCATCTATCAATGAATGCTTATCTTGCTTCTATATTTTGGTATTGTAAATAATGTTACAATGGACATAAGGTGCAGATGCCTTTTTGAGTTAGTGTCTCATTTTCCTCTGATAAGTACCCAGAAGTGAAATTGCTGGGCCATATGGTAGTTCTATTTTTAATTTTTTGATGAAACCTCCATACTGTTTTTCATAGTAGTTACACCAATTTACATTCTCACTGATAGTACACAAGGATTCTCTTTACTCCACACCCTTGCTAACACTTGTTATTTCTTGTCTTTTTGATAGCCATTCTAACAGGTATGAGGTAACACCTCATTGTGGTTTTGATTTGTATTTCCCTCATTCATGATATTAAGCACCTTTTCTTATGTCTGCTGGCCATCGGTATGTCTTCTTCGGACAAATGTCTATACAGATCTTCTGTGCTCCCTGCTTAATTTTTATCTTCAGTTCATATCACTGTCTAACATGCTATATATTTTACTTACTGTGTATTTCCCCCAAAAGTTAAGTTCCACAAGACAAGCAATTTTGTCTAATATGTTTACTGCTATTTCTTTGGTGTTTAGGATAGTGTCATGCACATGCAAAGTACTCAAACATATTAATTGAGTGACAGAATTTTTTGGTACAGTTTACACTAACCCAATCAAAGGAAAGAATCGGTATAAAAAGGGAGGGGGGATATAGCTAAAGACCACTCTAACAAATAAGAACTATAATTATAGCTTTCATTTATTATGTCTTCTTTCAATCATTTATTCACCATTTTCTAATTGCATTTTTGGTGAATACCTGGGTTCAACAAAAAAGGAATAAATACACTAAGTAAAGTTCATTTATTATTCACTATGTTCCTCTTTTGATTTTGAGTCTTTACTCTCCTGGAGCCCTAAAAGAATCGCATCAGCCTCTAGTATCGTTGTATCTGTTGTTGCTCCCAGGAACCTAGATGTAAGTTCAAGATCTAATAGCCGCAGCCGGACTCTGGTTCCTCTCTGGTATTTCCTAAACAGGAAGAAAAAGAATTCCATGAATTTTACATATCTTAATATGAACAACTAGTTAGAAGTAAAATTCAAATTCTAATTTGAGTTGGTTCAAGATGAAATCAACACTTCCTTAAAAAAAAGTTAATACTGGCACCTGAGAAATAGTTGTTTTTGACAGAAAAGTAATTTGGTTGTATCAGAATTTTCATCTTAATTACCTGTAAAGATTTTATACTCAAAAATAAAAATGTATTCCAAACTGAAATTCAAACAAGTTGGTTCTTAAAACTGATATTTTCATGTCATTCATTTTTAAAGTCAGAGAGCATCAAGGGAAAGAAACGATTCCCGGATATGTGTTTTTCTTCTAAAATAAAAATCTTGTAAATATTACAAAAGCAAAATGGAAAAAAGTCTAAGAGAAAAGTACTTAGTATTGGGGTTGACTGCGCTGTACCTAATGTGCAATGCTGACCATAATATGATGGGCCACTTTGGTCAATAAAATATTCAAGTGATACCAAATGAAAACTGACATTTACTTTTCTTCCTTCAATTATTTTAGAAGTTTAATACCAACATTTTGAAAAAGTACAGGAGAGTGAAAATACTGTTTCTGACTGAAAATCACAAATCTTTAAAGGTTTAAATATATACTTCAGGAAGATGATTAAAGATGGCGGCATGAGAGGTGAGACAGAGGTTTCCTCCTAAAACTGTATATAATATGAAAATATAATAAATGCAACTAATACTGAAAGAGCAATAGGAAAGGGACCTGTGTCAGACTGCATATACCCCGAGAAAAGAATAAACCTAATGGAACATGGTAACATACCAAAGCCATGACCCGGAGGGACCAAGCCCTTACCCCACCCAAGCTCACTGGTGGGAGGAAGAGAAATGGAGCAGGGAGGGAGTGGGGGCTTAGGACAAACCTACATTACATGATACTCTCGTGACTAGGAGATTGGAAAGCTAAGAAAGGCAGAATACCTGGAGAGACTGAGATTCCAGCTGCTTGTGGAAAACAGGGATCCATATCTGGCTGCTCTGGGACAAAAGAAAGGCAGGCAGTCTGAGAGACTTCCTAACAACAAGAGGGCTGCTAAAGGGGCAAGGACTGCACAGACCTTACTGCTCAGGAAAAAGGACAGGTAGACAAAATTGTCTGGGTGCACTCTGCCCAGCAGGTTGGGAACTCTCAAGATCTTCAAGCGCTCCAGCCCCTTGGCTGGCTGTGCAGCTCCAAGTGCCCCCTCCATGATAAGCAGTCGACTACGCCTTCCTCCCAGCCAGCCTGCACCTGGCTTGCAAAGCAGCAAACCCTACCTTGGTGTTAGGCCAGCCAGAGGGAAGCCCCGCCTACAGCAGCTACAAACACAAAGCAGAGAGGCCTGTACCAGTGTGCTTGGCCCACTGGTTCTGGCACTGGAGACAGGCATAGCAGCCAGGAAGCAAGAAACAGCTCTTTCCTCCCTCCCAGGCACCAACACCGCTTACTTGTGACGCACAACATTGCTCCAGGGGCTGAGTAGCTCTAGAGAGTAGAGCTTATGGGCACTAGAGGGAGCCACATACAAATATGAAATGTCAAAGGAACCTGGTTCAAAGCAAAATTATAAGTACACAAGAGAAACGGTCAAATGAAATCGACCTCATGAATCTTCTTGAAAGAGATTTCAAAATAAAAATCATAAACATGCTCATGGAGGTACAGAAAAATATTCAAGAAGTCAGGAATGAATTCTGGTTGGAGATTCAATCATGACAGAACACAGTATCAGAAATGAAACATACAATGGAAAGTTTTAAAACCAGATTAGATATGGTAGAGGAGATGATAAATGAAATAGAAATTAGAGAAGAGGAATACAAAGAAGCTGAGGCACAGAGAGAAAAAAGGATCTCTAGGAATGAAAGAATATTGAGAGAACTGTGTGACCAATCCAAATGGAACAATATTCGTATTATAGGGGTACCAGAAGAGGAAGAGAGAAAAAGGGACAGAAAGTGTCTTTGAAGAGGTAATTGCTGAAAACTTCCCCGATCTGGGGAAGGAGATAGTCTGTCAGACCATGGACGGGCACAGATCTTCCAACACAAGGGACCCAAGGAAGACAACATCAAGACATATAATAATTAAAATGGCAAAGATCGGGATAAGGCCAGACTATCAACAGCAGCCAGAGAGAGAAATAAGATCACAAAAAAAAACTAAAGACCAATATCTCTGATGAACATAGATGCAAAAATACTCAACAAAATATTAGCAAATCAAATTCAAATAAAAACACCAGGCTTTCATCAGACTTCTCAGCAGAAACCTTACAGGCCAGAAGGGAGCGGCATAATGTATTTAATGCAATGAAGAAGAAGGGCCTCTGACCAAGATTACTTTATCTGGCAAGATTATCATTTAAATTTGAAGGAGGGATTAAACAATTTCCAGATAAGCAAAAGCTGAGAGAATTTACCTCCCACAAACCATCTCTACAGTGTATTTTCAAGGGACTGCTATACATGGAAGTGTTTCTAAGGTTTAATAGCAGTCACCAGAGGTAATAAAAACCACAGTAAAGTAAGTAGAACAGTTAATTACTAAGCAAATGCAAAATTAAACCAACTACCCCCAAAGTCAATCAAGGGATAGACAAAGAGTACAGAATATGTACCTAATATATAAAGAATGGAGGAAGAAGAAAAAGGAGGAGAAGAAAAGAAACTTTAGATTGTGTTTGTAATAGCATACTAAAGAAGTTAAGTTAGACTCTTAGATAGTAAGGAAATTAACCTTGAACCTTTGGTAACCATGAATCTAAAGCCTGCAATGGCAATAAGTACATACTCATCAATAATCACCTTGAATGGATAAAAAAAAAAGACCCACCTACATGCTGCCTATAAGAGACTCACTTTAAACCCAAAGACATACACAGACTAAAAGTGAAGGGATGGAAAAAGATATTTCATGCAACTAATAGGGAGAAAAAAGTAGGAGTTGCAGTACTTGTATCAGACAAAATAGACTTCAAAACAAAAAAAGTCACAAGACACAAAGAAGGACATTACATGATGATAAAGGGGTCAATCCAACAAGAAGATACAACCATTATAAATATCTATGTACCCAACAGAGGAGCACCCACATATGTGAAACAAATACTAACAGAATTAAAAGGGGAAATATAATGCAATGAATTCATTCTAGAAGACGTCAACACTCCACTTACTCCAAAGGACATATCAACCAGACAGAAAATAAGTAAGGAGACAGAGACACTGAACAACACATTAGAAAAGATAGACCTAACAGACATCTACAGAACTCTACACCCAAAAGCAGCAGGATAGATATTCTTTTCAAGTGCACATGGAACATTTTCAAGAATATATCATATACTAGGCCACAAAAAGAGCCGCAGCAAATTCAAACAGATTGAAATTGTACCAACCAGTTTCTCAGACCACAAAGGTATGAAACTAGAAACAAATTACGCAAAGAAAATGAAAAATCCCACAACCACATGGAGGCTTCACAACATGCTCCTAAATAACTAATGGATCAATGACCAAATAAAAACAGACAGCAAGCAATATATGGAGACAAATGACAACAATAATTCAACACTGCAAAATCTGTGGGACACAGCAAAGGCCGTGCTAAGAGGAAAGTATATTGCAATACAGGCCTACTTCAGGAAAGAACAATCCCATATGAACAGCCTAAACTCACAATTAACAAAATTAGAAAAAGAAGAACAAATGAGGCCCAAAGTCAGTAGAAGGAGGGACATAATAAAGATTAGAGCAGACATAAATAAAACCGAGAAGAATAAAACAATACAAGGAATAAATGAAAACAAAAAATGGTTCTTTGAGAAAATAAGCAAAATAGATAAATCTCTAGCCACACTTATCAGGAAAAAAAGAGAGTCTACTCACATAAACAGAATCAGAAATGAGAAAGGAAAAATCACTACAGACACCACAGGAATACAAAGAATTATTAGAGAATACTATGAAAAACTACATGGTAACAAACCGGATAACCTAGAAGAAATGGACAACTTTCTAGAAAAATACAACCATCCAAGGATGACCCAGAAAGAAACAGAAAATCTGAAAAGACCAATTACCAGCAATGAAATTGAACTGTTAATCAAAAAACTACCTAAGAAGAAAACCCCTGGACCAGATGGCTTCACTGCTCAATTTTATCAAGCATTTAGTGAAGACCTAATACACATCCTCCTCAAAGTTTTCCAAAAAGTAGATGAGGGAATACTTCCAAACTCATTCTGTGAGGCCAGCATCACTGTAATAGCAAAACCAGGCAAAGATACCACAAAAAAAGAAAACTAAAGACCAATATCTCTGATGAACATAGATGCAAAAATACTCAACAAAATATTAGCAAATCAAATTCAAAAATATATCAGAAAAATCATCCATCATGATCATGTAGGATTTATTCCAGGGATGCAAGGATGGTACAGTATTAGAAAATCCATCAACATCATCCACCACATCAACAAAAAGGACAAAAAACCACAAGATCATCTCCATACACGCCAAAAAAGAATTTGACAAAATTCAACATCCATTCATGATAAAAACTCTCAAACAAAATGGGTACAGAGGGCAAGTACCTCAACATAATAAAGGCCACATATGACAAACCCATAGCCAACATTATATTTAACAGTGAGAAGCTGAAAGCCTTTTCTTTAAGATGGGGAACAAGACAAGGATGCACTCTCCCCACTTTTATTCATCATAGTTCTGGAGGTCCTAGCCTAGCAATTAGACAACACAAAGAAATAAAAGGCATCCAGATTGGTAAAGAAGAAGTTAAACTGTCACTGTTTGCAGATGATATAATATTATACATAAAAACCCTAAAGATTCCACTCCAAAACTACTAGATCTAATACCTGAATTCAGCAAAGTTACAGGATACAAAATTAATACACAGAAAAATCTGTGGCATTGCTATACACTAACAATGAACTA